GTGAAACCTGGTGAGGAGTACATCATTTTATTGATGGATGAAATACACATTCAGCCATATTTAGATTTCAAAGGGGGTAATATTGTTGGAACGTCAATTAATAATACTTCATTAGCTACAACAGCCTATGTGTTTATGATTTCAAGCTTCTACTCCAATTTCAAAGAAGTTGTTCAAATTGATCATAATCTATTATACAGGGTGGTCCATAAGTCCTTTGAAATTTCAAATTTGAATAAAATTTAACGGGTGAGCGTGAGCGGCGCGGGCGAGGTGGGGGCAGTATCTTCAGTGTCTGGGAATTCAGTCGCCATAGAGTGTTTCGCTGGAGCGGGTCGTGCTTTTTGTGTGCGCGCGTTTTATCAAAATAATGATTCGGCAACCATTGCGCGGCGTAAATATCGAGAATACCACAATTTACACAATTTTACAAAGTGTCCAACAGCTCAAACGATTAAGAACTGGGTTGCTAAGTTCGAAGAGACTGGTTCGACATTAGATAAACAGCGGTGGGGTCGACCAAGGACAACTCGTATTGAAGAAAACATCAACATTGTGGCACAGTCTGTTCGTCAAAATCCTACCCAGTCTACTCGTAAGCGTTCCAGTGCACTAAACGTACCCAGAACATCTTTACAGCCGATTTTAAGGAAAGATTTACGTCTGCGCGCTTACAAAATTCAGTTAGTGCAGGAATTAAAAGATAATGACGCTATTCAGAGACTAAACTTTGCGAATGAAATGTTGAATCGATTTTCTTCGCTCAATAATGTGTTGTTCTCGGACGAGGCTCACTTCCATTTAAACGGGCATGTAAATAAACAAAATTGCCGTTACTGGAGCCCCGAAAATCCAAGGCGTAAGCATCAGAAGCCCTTACACAGCCCTAAAGTTACAGTTTGGGCTGCTATGTCAGCGCATGGCATCGTAGGCCCTTATTTTTTTGAGGACGACAGAGGTCGCGCATTAACTGTTACTTCGGAACGGTATGTAGCAATGATAGAAGAGTTTTTGACACCAGCGTTGCAGAATTTTCCAGGCTATAATACGCAGACCTGGTTTCAACAGGACGGAGCAACTGCCCACACCTCCAACACTTCTATGCCCGTCGTTTGTCAACTTTTTCCCAGCAAAGTAATTTTTCGAAGAGGAGACATTTCCTGGCCACCACGTAGTCCAGATTTGACCCCAATGGACTTCTTTTTATGGGGCTACCTCAAGAGTAAAGTGTACGACACCACTCCGCGATCAGTCGATGTCCTGAAAGAAAATATCCGAAGAGAAATGGCAAGCATTACAGTGTTGACCTGCCGCGCAGTCATCGACAATTTTAGACGTCGTTTATATGAGTGCCGTGATCGTAATGGATTGCATTTAGACGATGTGATTTTTAAAACATAATTCCTATTCAATAAAGATGATAACAAAATATAATAATTCTTCATAATGTAACTAGTTTGATTTTATTCCTTTTTTTCCAGCTCAAAGGACTTATGGGCCACCCTGTACAATATGACAAAAAAGTATCGTCAACTGGCAGGGGGTCAATATAATATATCAATTCGTCAGTTATATGAATCTCAGAAAAAGTTACGAACTCAAATCCTGATTTCATTGAAGTCTCGCTATGGTGATATACAAATAGATAAATTCTGTGAAAATGACGATTTAGAAATATATAGATGAAATTCCACACAATTTTAATGATTACCACTTTTTCCGAGAAATTGAAATTTTACAGTCTGATATTGATAGTATAAAGGATGAAATCCCTGTCATCACCTACTTATCTGGTTACTGTTGCTATGCCTTATTAAAGAAAAATCACACAGATGATATTGATATAGAAGACAAGCACAATATTATACAGAATTTGAGTAGAGGTGGCTTAAAATTCCCAAAGGATCCAGTTATTAATATTGTCATGCTAAGTTATATAATTTTCAATAAAGTTTTTCTCAGTTGATAATTAACAATCTGAGTGATAATAATCACGACACTTCATTTTCGCGTTGCACAGTCCATTCACCAGGTTATGTTATAAAACTAATTGTTATTTACACAGTCAATACATTTTTGAAAAATTATTGTGCCACAAGGAACGACAGCTTTGCAAGCGCGAATAAAGCAAAGAAACGTAAATTGACTACATTCACATGAGGCGGCAACATTTGCATAGCTGTAGATAAATGTTTATTTGTACATATTCAGAATTTAGCACTTTAATTTTCGTTATTCTAATTTTTGTTATTTTTGATACTTGTTTTCTGTTTCCTAATTTTTGTTATTATTTGTTTGTTCTAAGAGTTTTTATTAAGTTTTCGTTAATCTTTGTTATGTTTTTTCTGTTGTTTATTTTACTTTGAATTTATCTGTTTTTCTTATCATTCATCCTACACTTTTTCCTCCTCATCTGCCTTATTCCTTTCCTGGCAAGAGCTTACCTCAGATCTCCTCGTTGGTTCTTGCTGGACACAACTGTTCTACAAGCACTACATTTTTTATATAATTTTCAAGTACCATTATATTATGCCTATAATAATAGTAAATTGTCCACATATTCCTGTGAAATTTTGTTGATCGGTTGTAACTAACATGGGGTTATTCATTGAAGAATTTATCATTTTTAGCAAGCTTTTATAACATCAACTTATTAATCTAATGTGCACGTAATGTTGGATGAAATATCAGTGAAAATCAGAGTGAAAATAGTTAATAACTAGTTTAATATTTTCCTTCATATACCAAAAACAATTTACTGAATTATCTGTTATTTACATCAGGTTGAGTATATTAAATATGCTGCAATAATATATTATTCACTAACTCTGATGAACGGCACGCCGTGCTGTCGGCCGGCCGACCGGCCTACTCGTGGTGACGTCACGCGTCTGTTGTCAGGCCTTGTACTCTCGGTGGTAACGACTTAACTCCCACGAAAATAAATCTTCTATCTATCGGCCACTATCCTAATGGTAACCTAAGATGTTCAGCAAAGATAAAATATTGCATTCTGGAACCTATTTAAAAAAATCATAAACGCAAACTTCATACATAGTGAAGCAATAAACGGTTACAGCACAATGCATTACAGTTCAAACACCTTGCATAAAAAATATTTGGCACCTAATAAATCACTGAGACTAATAAATCACAGTAACTTTGATTTATAGTCCAATAATTTGCTTTTACGGATTGAGATCTTGGGCGTGTTTGCAGCAGAAATGTTGCTGTCGTAATTTATGTCACGTAACATCCAAAAAACATTAGCGATTAAAATACAATTTGCCTGAGAAGTAAACAATGTAATATAGTGACCGGTGGCTGTCATAACACAACAATATAGTATTTCTGCATCGATTTTACAATCCCGAATTTTAATTTACTAGCAACTTATCCTGTTCAACATTAAAAATGCATGGAGGCACATTGAAGACAAGCACTGTATATTTAATAATATGGATATTTTCAAATGATCAGTTTCGTAACCTCTCCCACTAAGCGAGAAATATACTAAGTGACATATAAATCTGAACACCCAGTTTAAATGGTTTTATTTTAATAAAATTTTGTATAAGTACTTAATGAAGCATAATAAGTAAATGATAAAAATTTCAAAATGATTGCACTGCTTTAAAGCCCCTTGACCTTTAATAATGTGTGGATGCACCCTGATGTGCTACGAATTCTCCAACGCGCCTAGGCATGCTTCTGATCAGGTGGTCAATGTCCTCCTGTGGTATCTCATTCCAGGCAACCACCAACTCCTCTCGAAGTGCTTCTAGAGTCTGAGGAGGACGTTGCAAATTGAGCAATCTGCTACCCATCATATCCCACACGTGCTCAATTGGGGATAAGTCGGGAGATCTTGGTGGCCATGGTAACAATGTGACATCATTATGTTGAAAGAAGTCTATTGTGACTCTTGCAACATGTGGTCGGGCATTATCTTGTTGGAAAGTTGGATCTGCCAGGGCGTTCAAGATATGGTAAAAGATGGGGTTCTAGAACTTCATGGATATAACGCTGCGCGTTCATGTTACCTCTGATGAAGGTTAAAGGTGACCTGGAACCAAAAGCTATAGCACCCCAAACCATAACTCCAACAGTGTGATGAACATGTCTTTCAACAAAAAACTGTGGATTCCTCCTTTCACCACGTCGCCTTCTAACACTGGCACGACCATCGTGCATGCCTGAACAAACTCGAGACGCGTCACTAAAGACAATACTGTTCCATTCCTGATCCCAGAGTGACCGTTGTCTGCACCACTCAAGGCGATTACGTCGGTGTTCTCGAGTTAAAGGGAGGACCCAGTGTGGCCGGTATGAAAACAAGCCAAAGCTTCTCATTCGTCGGTAAACACTTCGCATGCCAATAGGTCTTCCGTGTTCTGCAAACCATTCATTTGCAATGGACCTGGTAGTGGAGAAACGGTCCCTTAAGGCCAATAATCTTAGACGGCGATCTTTACGGTCTGTTGTTCTACGGCGGCGTCCAGTGCCCGTTGCTCTTTGCGTACGGCCTTCTCGAAGCCATGCCTGACAACACCTAACGACAGTGTCTACACTTCTTTGCACTCTAACTGCAATTGCCCGAAAAGAAAGTCCAGCTTCCCGAAGTCCCACTATACGGCCCCTATCAAACTCACTAAGTTGACGAAATCGTACAGGTCTCCGTACTCTAGGCATCGTAACCGATCGTAAAGGATGTCAAGAACCAAAATCCGCCAACGTTGATTCTTTACTGTGGCTGAAATATTCATTTTTAGAGCGTTAGTGAATTAAAAAAAGCAGTATAAAAACCGGAATGTCCAACTGATAAGGCTGAAAAATTTTTCACTTGTTATTTACAGTAAGATAAGTACATTCACCAACTTTTATTAAAATAAAACCATTTAAACTGGGTGTTCGGATTTATATGTCACTTAGTATACTATAACAACTGTAACATATTCCTAATTACTATTGTTGAACAAAACAACGTTAATTATGTTTACCTATAGTATTACAGTAGCCTTGGCTTCCTGAATTGTTGATTTCCTCGTGGAAAGATGTCTGTTCGATTCATTAACCAGTAACTACATAAAACAAACAAAAATGTATTTAAGAAAGGTTGCCATCTAGCAAACGCAAGTTTGTAAGTAATAACGACACTTTGAATAATACAATATCATAGTTCTCAGATCAGTTGTATGGTCATTTAGCGGAATCGTCAAAGGCTTTGCTTTAGTGGTGATGATTTTCGGAGGCTTGCGGCTTTCGGTGAAAATGGACACTCTACAATGCTGAAAATGTTAATGTCATCAAATTTTAGCAAACATCTTGTTGAGTTGTGTTTTCGAACTCCCAAATCCCCTCCTATTGGTTACGTCTCTGTAGTGTATCCAATCTCATACGGATTTTCAAACATAACAACCATTGCGACTCAGATGTCACATATTTGTATGCGGAGAGCTATGAAAAATTCAACAACCGGACTAAACGAATTTCGTTCTACTGCCATCCCCCGGAGATGGTCCTGCTATTACTCTGTCCAGAGATATCTGGACAATTTAATGTTTCAGGATTATGGCTAATATATATAAAATTAAGTTATTTGTAAAGTTTCTCTGTTATATCGGTGAGCTCATATTCTGTCGTCGATAAGAGAAACCCACTACAGTTCCTGTAGTTTTCAAACATAGATATGTGCTTTTCTTATATATATTGAAAATGGCCACCATGACTCTCCATGCAATAATAAAGATTTTGCTCAAAACGCTGCCGCACATTTTGCAATATTTGAGTAGTAATTTGAAGGTACTCATTCACAATTCTTTGTCGCAGGTCTTCTAATGATGTTGGCTGAGTAGCATAGATTTTGCTTTTTAAATGACCCCACATAAAGAAATCCAAAGGTGATAAATCTGGCGATCTTGGGGGCCATTCAATGGCACCTCTTCTAACAATCCATCATATCTGGAAACGTCTGATCTAAATATTGTCGAACACGTAATGCGTAATGTGGTGAGGCACCATCCTGTTGGAACATCAACCTATTCGCAATGTACCGCCGATCATTTTGATTTTCAATTATGGCTGTTAATGCAGGATCTATGGCGTCTTCCAGTAATTCCAATCATTTCACCGGTCAAATTTCCAGGTAAGAATACGAGCCCAAACATTTAATTTTTGTGGCTGCTGTGTATGAACCTCATGATAAATTCTGGGATTAGAATCGGACCAATATCGGCAGTTATGACGATTTACTACGCCATTTAAGAAAAAGGAACATTTGTCGGCAAAGCAAGTGTTGAATAGAAAATGTTCATCGTTTATAATTCGTTAACTCAAATCTTCACAAAATTGTAATCGCCGATCAAAATCGTCTTCATTAAGTTCTTGTACCAGGTGAATTTTATACGGATGAAAACTATGGGCCTTGAGAATCCGTTTGACAGTACGTCGACTAACACCACACACAGTCTCCAATTTGCGGGTACTTAACGTAGGATCTACATAAACTTGCCCTAAAACCCCCACTTCTATTGCTTCGTTCCTTATGGGAGTTTCAATGTTGCGTTTTTTATTGACGACTGAACCAGTTTCTCGAAGTTTAGCTACAAGTTCTATGTACGTTACTGTTCTCAGGTCGCTCATTAAATATTTCTGCTGTTCTATTAGCGCACTGATTAGTTCCGAAAAATATTTCAATAATTTCAACTCTTTCTGCTGTGGAATATACCATGGTTAATTTATGTAATAAAGCATTACAAGTTATTTTAGCACCAAAGTTTGGTCAAATCAATCGCAAACTATGTACTAAATTCCTATTTAAAATAAGTACGAGATATTTTCTTATCTTTCTTCAAGAAATAACTTTTTTGCCACAAAAAACGCTCCAATAGCTATTTTCAACAGCAAAATGATAAACAAAACATGGGCGTAGTGAAAAAAAGCATTTACTTATTAAGTACATTCTTTTAGTCAAATTTCTTCTGAAAGTAGTACAAACTAATCTGATGTACCTATTAAAGTCTACTTTAAGCTTTAAATCAATAAATCTTCAAAACTACTGATCTGAAGCTCATGTATTTTACATCATTATAAAGGGAATTGAAAGACCTTTAAAATAAGGTATCAGTCGACACCCTTTCCATTTAAGATTTTAGGGTTGGTGTCACCCCCGCGCAGGGGGCTGCACGTGTTAACGTGATTTTTTGCCAAACTTGTGTCCCCCTCGAAAACAAAATCGACGGGTCTGAGCGTTTTTCCAAAAAAAACTGAGCTGCCAGTAAATGCGTCTGTTTCGTTTTCGATGCGCCACCCTGTATAATAGCCTAATGAGAATGAATTGATAATTTATAGTCGACCTAAGTTACATGAAATCTTGCACAAGGTATGGTGTATTTTTTAGCTTATACTTGTAAATTCCAGTATGGAATCAGTATGGTTTCCCCAGGATTGGAAAACGTCAGCACGCATCCCTATAGAAAAAGTGTGTGGAACAATAAAATGTGAAGAGCATAGACCAATCAAGATGGTACCTGTATATGAAAAACTTCTAGAAACTGTTGTCAATCAACAATTATATCAATACGTAGAAGAAATTATTTACAAAATATCAAGCTGGTTTTAGGAAGGACCTTGCATGTGAAAGTGCGCTTCAGTCTGTTATTTCTGGATGGAAAATGTTTTGAGTGTGGGTCATTATGTGGGTGTTGCGTTTATCGACTTTAGGAGAGCATTCGAAACAATAAATAGAAATTTGTTGATAAAAAAACTAGAAAAATATGGCTTTGAAGGCAACGTTTTAAGATGGATCTCGGGATACTTGGAACAAAGAACTCAGCGAACAAAGTACAGAACCTCCTTATCTTCTGTAAGAGAAAATAGCCATGGTGTGCCTCAGGGAACAGTGTTGGGTCCTGATCTAGTCGTGCTGTATATAAATGATATTGTAAAGGCTGTAAAAAATTGCAGACGATACAATTTTGTTCATGGAATGTGACAACATAGACAATTTGATTAAAATGATTAATGAAAACTAAAAAAACATGATATGCCTGATTAGGGAACAATAGTCTTAGTATTCATGCTGACAAGACTATGTGTATGATACCGAAATCTAAATTTAATGTTCAGGTTACTTATCTGCACGGATTTATAATTGAAAATAATAAGATTAAACAGATTAACAAGTATAAATATTTAGGAGTTATGATAGACTCAAATTAAACATTCAATAGCCATGCAGATTATATAAAAAAAAGTTTCTAAAAAAGGTAATTTAATGTGTAGGGTAACAAACGACCTTAGTTCATGGACGTCACTACTTATATATAAAACAATAGTCATGCCTCACTTTAACTACTGTTCCTCCATATTATATATGTTTCAGAAAGGTGATATAGATTCACTACAAAGAAAACAAAATCAGGCTCTTAGATGTATATTAAGATGTAATAGATACACAAGAATTAAAGACATGTTAGAAGTAACTAGTTTATCAAGTATCAAACAAAATATATTTTACAATGCAATGATAGTCATCTACAAGATAAAGACGGGAATGAATCCCAAACACATATTGGAAGGTTTGCAATTTGTCTGTGATATTCATAGTTACAATACAAGGAATAGGTTTAATTTTCATGTTCCTGCTGTGGGATCTGCTTTTGCGCAAAATGGTTTATTTCATAAAGGCCTTATAGATTTTAATAATTTACCAGCGGAAATCAAATCTACAAATTTTGTCAAATTCAAAAGACAATCGAGAATTTATCTAGAAAATAGTGTTAGTTTTAGATAATAATATATATATATATTGTATTGTTTAGCTTGAAGCTATTAAATAAAGATACCTACTACTACTATACTATTTTAATGGATCTGTAAAATTGTACCTAAGTTATTTATAATCGTGTTTTGCAGCATTCTAGTCATGAATATTGATATGAATTAAAACAAACTAATTAATTAATAAAAATAGAATCTTGGGGGCCTAGTACTGTTACACTCCTTAACGATAACTACTTTTATGAAAATAATTTGTGTTTGCATCACTGATTTATAAAATGTTCTACGCAGATGCTACAGAATCACCATAATGATATGAACCATAAAAATTATAAAGGTAAGATAAAGATATTCTCAAGTATAGATTATTTTTTGACTGCTCCCAAAACTTCGAATAAATGCTGGCGATAAGGATGATTTTATAATAGCGTGTGTTATTGACGCTACACTTTTAACAGATAAGTGATTACTTACAAAAATAGCAAAACATGTTAATAATACATTATGAAATTTTCCACACACCATTAGAAATTGCATTTAAAAATTGCAACAGTTTCAGATATATGCGAAGAGCAACGTTGTGGCTTCATGCACAATCTGGCAACCATGTCGCATCAAAAATAAATGGCGGCTTGACATCAACATAAATTAATCGTGTTGCCTTATGGATAACACAAGACTGTACCATCTTCAGTGTATATATGCGTATCTAACATATCTCATACTCTGTTTCAAATGCAAAAGTACTCTACTGTAAACTTACTAACCTCAAAACATTAAGATATACCCTTCACCACCCCTACACCCTCCTACTCCTACCCTTATTTTTTTTTTCATTAATGATTAGGATCTTTTCCGCAGCCACTTGACCGATTTTCGAAGGCTGCAAAGCTTCTTCGTCCTTTACGTAGAGGTAACCTTGTATAAAAAGTTCATCCAAATCCGAGCATTACTTTCCAAGTTATAGAGGGGCACTGGAATACCGGACAGGACGACAGACAACCGACGGAATTGAGTGACATTTTCACCTAGTAGCACAGGAAGTAAAATGGAAATCGAAGAGATCGAACCTACATGGTATCCATTTAACGACCAAGAAACAGAAAAATTTTGATAACTTCAGTACCCTGCGCAATTAGTCTTAAAAGGTAGCTACCCACGCATCTGACCTAAGCATCAAAATCGTTCTGGATGAACAAGAAAATCAATTTTAGAGGTTACGTTATATAAGACTAGCTCCGTGTTCTAACTAGAAGCTTTAATCTTGACTAAATTTTACCAGTATGAAGCGTACCCGGATCTTAAGCATCGTTGATTCCAGTTGAATCATAATCTAAAAAACTTAAGTACTCGCGATCAACATGTACCCTTCAGCATATCTAACCTCAAAATGGTACCAACTACAGCCACTAGGTGTCTCACATGCCCCACGCAATCACAATAAAGCTTGACAGTGCTAGGATGGTGGTACTTACCTCGAAATCAACAAAAATGCACTGCACCGAGAACAATCGCAAACCGTGCACGGATGAAATTTCGTAACCGAGAGCGCGGTTCACAGGAGAAACGTCGCGCACCAATTTAAATCGGTGGGTACCACTTGAAAAGTAGTAAAGTACTACTGGTCGCGCACCAGAGCCGCCCGAGGAGCCAATTAAAATCAATTAATTTCGGTCTAAGTGCGTTGAAAATGATGATGCGGTCCGTTCATCACTAAAGACCTGCGCGTCTACCGACGATTCCCAGCTTTTGTTTTCTCAAGTTCGTGATAAGATATTCTTATAGAAAGGTCGATGTAGTTTGTACAATATATCTGAAACTGTTATCTGTAATTATTGGAAGATTGTGATTGTGATGCACTGTCACTAGCGCTCAGCCGTTTGACAAAAAATGAAGTTTAGTAGAGTGACATAATATGAGCCGTACTCATAAAACAAAGGATATCCTTGTACTTGCAAATGTTGCAGGAAATCCTCCAGATGGTATTTATGATAATTTGAAGTAAATGCTTTTGCTTTTTGAGTATAAGCATATCCTTTAAAGCAGTGACATAAGTAAAAGGATATTCATAATCTTCACCTTATATTTGGCATGGGAAGCATATTCTTCAAAAATTCTGAGTGTGGTCAGTAGCAGACTCAGATTCGTAACGAAAGGTGGTCAAACGATGATGGCGGAAATGAACTGATGGAGGCCAAGCGGATATGTTAAAGCATGTATAAATTTCCGACAGCAATTGGTGTAATTGATTGTACACATCTAGGAATTCTGAAACCAAATCGCCATGGCAATGAGTATATCAACCGAAAAGGGAAACCTACTTTAAATGTGCAGGCCACTTGTGATGCCAGAGAGATGTTCACAAGTGTTGATGTCAGTTGGCCTGGATCAGTGCATGATTCTAGAATATGGAGACATTCACAGACTAGATCACAACTAATAAATAAAGCAAATGTACTGCTTGGCGATGACGGTTATGGTATTGAGCCATGTCTTATTACTCCCTTCAGAAATCCTACTCCAGGTGTAGAAACAGATTATAATAAGCTTTTAAAACAAGAAAGAGTTGTTGTTCGGACTATGTTAGTGAAGGTGTTGTTGCCAACGATTTGAATTTTAACGGAATTAGTATAAAGAAAAATAGATTGACTGCAAGCGGTGTAAATAACAAATTAAAAATAAATGAACATCTTTGTATACTAAATGACATGGAAAATGCAACACCGACTAGGAGTGCTGTAACTTTGTGCATACTTTTACAAGTTTAAGGTCTACTAATAAATAGAAAGTAGTTAAGATTTTGACTCGAAATTTCGCAAAATACACACTCGTCGATTTGCATGATAACAACAATAAAGCAAATGTAACCAACACAGATAAATCACATGCCTTCAACATTTTATCAGCGTATACTTCGATGATAGCAAATATGTGTACAAGTTTTTATTAAAATTCAATAAATAATTCTGGGTGTTGCATATTATATGTCACTTAGTATAAGGTACCTGTACCAAATAAGGCCACATTAACGTTTGGATAGCTGTAACTGCGTAAATATTTGCGAAACGACCTTGAAATTTTAAAGGTATTATTGTAGATATGTTTATTACACAAGCTACACCGGAGAACTCAGAGACCTTTTCTTTTCATATAAAAAAAAATATATTTTTCGAAACACTACCGTTGGCCTTATTAGGGACCCATGTATCCAAGTAAGGCCACCATCTGGTTTTCAAGAAAACCACAATCAAAATGTAAATCAAGACTGTATAATAAACGAAGCTATATTTCTCATCAAACAAAATTAAAAAAACACTTAAATCTAGACAGATTTAGATAAAAAAAAGTCAACTTGTTTAAAGAAAATCATACAGAATCTTAGATTTTGCCTTCGCAATGATGACAAACAAATGATACTTTATCACCTCTACACAAGCCTACACATTCCTCATGGACATATCTTAAGCATACTACACACAGACCCATGTCACGTACTTCATCCTTATCGCATATGAAACAGTACCAGTTTTCGTCTTTATTCTTTCGGGACCTTTTGCTTTTAACGGTTCCAGACTCTCTAGATTTTTTTTATTGTTTTATCTAAGCCGGATGGACCTGGATTTGGGTCTTTAAACAAATCTCTTACGATGATTTGCGCAGTAGAATTGATGGCTTTTCGTCTTTTTGTGGCGTTAGCCTTCCATTCGGGTGTGGGAAGTACTTCCCTGAAACTTAGATCCAATTGATCACTGTCTATTTGACCAGTCACAAGATTTGTTGTTTCAAGAACTGCAAACTTTTGAGTCGAGTTTATTTCTTTTTCATTAGAAGTAGCTGTTATGTGTAACATTGAAGTTCCGTTGGCCATCAGTAGTCATCAGATTCTGTAAAAACTGACATCATGGTTTTCCTCATTCTCCTCCTTAACATCTGTAGCTGCCGTATTTGAATCGGGCCTCTCTGACATTAAACTGGGTGTAAATGCAGTCTCCGGGATCGCAGCTGGGTCGTGTGGGTATATTCCTGTTGCGCGAAATCCTGAGTGAAGATTTTCAGAAGACATGGCCCTTGGATACACTTTCCTCAAAATTTCTCCAAATCTTGCACGATTCAACTTCCTGCCAGGATACCGCTTGTAATGGTTAAGTATTTCATTTTCCCAATGATATTCGAAACTGCGGAAAACACATTTATCCAGCGGTTGCAGCACATGTGTTGTGTTACTCGGAAGACACAATAAAGTGATGTGATGTTTTTCGGCGGCGTCAACAATAGTTGCATCCAAATGAGAAGAGGCACCATCAAAAATGAGAAGAATATCTCCTGGTGGCTTATAGTTTGCTAGATGGTGTAGCCATTTAACAAACACTGCTGCCGTCATACTTCCTTTTTGGGTCATTTCAATTACTGTTCCGGTTGGCATATTGTCACCCCATTCATCCTTTTTACGTTTTCCCTTGAACAGGACCATTGGTGGTATTGCCTGCCATTAGCTACATAGTGAACACGTCTTTCACCTTTCCTCACCAACACATTTGGTTGGCGGTGGATGGTGAGTCTGCACCCCTTCTCATCTACATTGTAGATACGATGGGGCTGGGTCTAATCAGCAAACTTTCTAGTTTTTTGAAGTAGTCGTTTAAAATGTACTTATTTACTTTCTGTGCCCTAGCTGGATTTAAAACCTGTGCTTTCCTTTGGCGAATATTTTTATGTCTGTCCAAAAACAACTTCAACCATTTTCTACCTGCCATTCCACTATTTTCATTAAATGTGTGACGAATTTTTTTGTCACTAACATAGGAAAAGACGGATTTTCGCAAAATCTTTGGTGTAAGGGGCATTCCTGTATCCGATAATCGGATTATCCTTGAGCATAGTTCATCTTCCTGCTCTCTAGACAAAATTGTACGAGTACCAAGTTTTCTTTCTCGCACACCTGTACGAACATGATTGTGAAGTGTTCTTCGTGGAATTTGGTATTCTTTGGATGCACGATTTACCGACGTTCCACTGTTTATACTATCCAGTGCTTGTACAAGCGCTTCGGTTGACCACAGCGCCCTTTTCTTAGAGGGCATATTTCGACTATAGTCTCTGAAAAAAAAAACATCTTAATTTAAGACATCTGCCGTAATGGCCAGCGTGTTCCTTCCTAATAAGGCCAAGTGGCCGTAATGGGAACCGTTTATCATGGCCTTATTAGGCACATATAACCTTAAACATACAATTTATAAAATACATAATATTTAAAACCTGGTGACGACAAATAACTAGCTGTATATGTTCTATAGACTTACCTGATTGAACTGACAACAGATTTCGCAAAAAGAAGCAGACAACATGAAAAATCGAAGACAAATTTAAAGTAGTAATTTTGTAAGGCACGTGTTGAAAATCGACACTGGCCAACTGCGCCATCTAGCGCCGCTCCACACCTGCTACATTTATGGGTGCTAACTCATCTCAATGAATGTATAGAACTGTAGAAATCTTTAATTCTAGATGTAACTAGTGTCTGTAAAATCGACGCATGGCCTTATAAGGAGCTTGGCCTTATTTGGTACAGGTACCTTATACTATATATAGTTTCGTGACGCTGATCTCTATGTGCGAATTACTTAAAAAGTTGGTTCTGCCCAACGACGTACACGTGCACTTGTAAAGTTCCAAGGGAAAACAGACATAAACCAGATGCCTCATGTGATAGAGATAAAAAACACGTTTTCTTGTAGTCACTGTGACGGGTCCCCGTTCGCAGGTACTCTGCGCTGGAAACACTAATAGAACCTCTAACAGACTATAATAGCTGAAAAATAAACAATATAAACATGTTTATATCTCCTACTGGCAATTGATTTCCAGAGCGTTCCGATTCTGAGTATCGTTATTTTCAAAATCAACAATTCAAATTAACATTTAAAACTTACAACAAAATACAAGAATTGAGAGATTTTTTTGTTCATAACCCTGCCGTCACTACATCGATTTTCAGAGCATTTTCGTTCCTGCCATAACAGTATCCTTTAAGGGAAAATTCATCGCATTCCAGTTTTTGGAGCTACAGAAGGGGCCAGGACCTAGCAAACATATTGGACGACAAACAAACTGACCAAAATGAGTAACACAACCTACATATGTTTACATTGCGCATCACTTGTATTGGCTAAGTATGAAAAGTAGACTTAGAATAACAAAAAGCGCTTTATCTTTATCTCAGTGGGTCAGTAATACAGAAAATCTACAACCTGCACGGCAGTTCACTCTTTAACTGATAGCTGAAATCACATACAACTTTGTTGAGTTTTCATAAAAGAATCCATGAAGAAATATTTAAGTGTTCAAAATAGTTATTTAATGTTATCTAGAGCATTAATTATACGCCTGCGATGAAAGGTGCAAAACGCTGCGAGCTGAAACACGTCAAGGAATATAAACATTTATTGCGTCCGTGATACATCCAAAATTTGCTTCATCCCCATTATTGCTCTATAGAGAATCTCCCTCTTTCTAGTTAAATAGTGATAACAAAAAGTTCATTATGTCAGTTTGTAATAAGCCGTGGTATAGCTGACCTCTTAAATACCTCTACAATCGAGATGATAATGGAAAACCGCTTTTAAAGGTAACAAAAGTATTGTCAATTAACGTTATCACATGATCCGAGGAAGTTGGTAAATAGACTAGCAAATACTGCCTAAATCTGATTATTTGCTCAATCTGACATTTGGCAACTGGATGTTTCAGAGTGTTTGTGAAACGAACAGGTTGAGATAAATATAATGCTAATAAATGGAGGTATCTAAATCTAATAAAAAGGTAGTGTGATACAAAATGTTACTATTAAAAAAACTACATATTTCGCTTTAGTATGC